AGATCAGAAACGCTCAGACGACGCTCAGAGCTAGGGAGAACGCAAAGCGGCAGAATAGAGTCTTCGATGTTGGTGACAAGGTTTTGGTCAAGTCCAACCGACGGCTCGGAAACAAACTCGCACCTTTATGTGACGAGAAGGCCGTGGAAGCGGACCTGGGGACCGAGGTCCTCATTAAAGGAAGGGTGGTCCACAAGGACAACCTAAGATGACTCCCTTGCTTTTTTTTATTACACCTTTTTTTTAAGCCGCTAGGCAATTTCGAATAAGTTAGATATAGTTTTCTATTTACCTTTAGCCACTTGGCATAGTTTTTATAAAACATTTTGGTGGCGGGTACACCCGATGCTGGTGATTTAGAGCAGACTAGGTCCACTGAAATGCGACTAATGAATGCCAACAGTAGACGGATAGAAGTAAACACTGAGGTTCAAGACCAACTTAACCAGTTAACATTTGCTGTCAGTGGAGTTCTCGGGATAGCCAAAACTCACAAATTGATTTTATTGATTTATTTATTTGAAACACTGAAACACTGTCCAGAAACAGAATGCGGACGATGGAGTTGCAAAGTTTAATGCTTGCTATTACTCTCGCGAAGGCTCATTGTTAGCCCAAACATTTTGGACTCCTCAGATTTAAAATCAATTTGGCTAGAGGAATCCATCAACACTATACATTTTATAACCAAATTCCCAAAAATTAAAAAAGCCTGCAGAAAAATTACGATTTATCCTGTCGTCCACAAGAACCAGCAACAGCTCTATTCGCCCCATAGTTGGATGCTAAGCCAGAACCACAGCATGCAAATCTACAAGCGGAATCGTTGAGGAAACCCCCTTGTTCACGGCACCACCACCAACAGTAGAAGCTCATCAGCCAGCAACAACTAACGAACTCTTCGCGGCGGCAGAGCCAAGCGACTCTTCATCCATACTAGAACCAAGTCAAGAAATCCCCAAAACACCGCCAACTGCATTAATTCAAGAAGTTTCACAGCCACAGGTTGCTCCAACCGCTGCCCATCTCTGTCGACACCTGCCACGGCTGCCGGCTCATCCTCATCCTCATCGGCAGCGGCGTCACGTCAACTGCAGCTGCCGGCATTGTCGGCAGTTGCCGCACGGCAACAGCAGCTACTGCTGAACGGCTCTCTGAAGAGCAAGACGAAGACATTTCCTGCGTATCGAGCATCGGTGCGCAGCGAGAGCGACGACAAGGAGTACAGGGCGGCTAGCAGCAGCAGCAACACGATACCGACGACGGGCAAAAGTCGGCCAAGATCAGCGGCAAGAACTGTAACAATCTGCTGCACAACGCCGGCAATAAGCTAAGCGTGAGCAGCAACTCCTTCGGCCTATACGCAGCATCTGGCATCATCGCCCAAGAGCCCTGTCTCCAGCAACGGCCATCTGAACAAATACTGCCTGACGGACTTGACGCGCCGCAAGGCCGAATTCAATCGCCAGCTGAGCGCGCCGACAGACTACACACATCACTCGTCCAGTAACGGCTCATAGCATCGCTGGAGTGGTGGGACACAGTCATCACGGCCATCACGGGCACGTGCACGGCCAGTCATCGACGGCGCCAGCCACACTCAAGTCGCTGCAGCTGCACAACTTTGGTATGCATCATCCGATGCCAAGGCCCACGTCCACGTCGTGCACCAACAGCTTCAACAGACGCCACATACGTAGGCGCAAGAGCAAGCTTAGTAAGCGCCTGCTGAACGGCGATAGCGAAGAATCAGTACGCTGCTCATACTGCTCCGTATTGAATGTGAATGAGAACGACTTGCGGATTTCATTCGAGAACACCTGCACCGACTCGCTGGTCACCGCTGCTAATATGCGACCAAGGAACCGAAATGGTGCACTTTGATGATGTGTCGTTGTACGGCACTCCGAAAGAGGAGCCATATGCTGTGCTTTAATCTGCATTGGCTTCACTCTTTGGTGGATCATCGACGCAAAGAAGTCCGCGAAGCACTTGCGAGGAGTCGTCGCTGGAATTGGGTCGGTCGAGGACGACCTTACACTTGAGGGGGGGGTAGTTAACTTATAACACTTAGTTAGCTTATAACACTTAATGTAAGGTATTATTCAACACTTATTATCGGGTGCTAGACAAGTTAAGGAACAGCCCTGGCAAGGGCAACTCTACTTACGCCGGTGAGGCTATGATTTGTAAAAATATAGATCAGTCTCGTGTTTTAACTCGTACTGATAGGACATGCTAAAAATTGGTGTCATATAAGTAAAACTAAAAATAGTGAATATAATAAGAAAAACCAATAAAATTAACTGTTTCGATTATTCAAAAAAGAACAATTAAAAGCAGGGTTAAAAAGCGTTCTTCCAGTAAACCGCTTAAATAAATATTCACTCCGTCATTTGCTCGTTAAATGGCTTATTTCATTGTCTGAGCCCGAGGCCAGCAATAAGAGGCACAGTCGCCTCTCAACCTAACTTTCAGTCACCACAGGACTGGAAACCATATAATTTATATATATATATAAAATCTATTGAAAAGTCAATCAGATAACAACTGGAATGTCGGAGCTATGAGTCAGTTTTATATATACGAAAAGTAAAAACCAGTCTACCTTTTTAAGTGATTTTTAAACAAATTGAATTATATATGGATTTCTTGGGCAATCATTTTTGGGAATTTATTGGTTGAATGCTTGCATAGTTCTTTTATCTATTTAGAATTTATGAATCAAAGATTATTTCATCAGCAGTAAGATTATATATAGAATATATATTTGAAAAAGAAATTCTCTTTGGGAATTTAGTAGTTATCTTGGTAAAATATATGTATAGATCTTCTATTGATATATAGAAAACATCTCATAGGGAAATCATCTTATATTAGATTTAGTATATATATATGCTTTGTTAGGAAATCATTTTTGGAACCAATCAGTTTGCAGGGTACCTTATATTCAGTAGTAGTATTCTTATAATATAAATGATATATATATATATATTATTTTTTATTTTTTTATTATTTTTTCAGTTTTTGTTGAACTTTTAAATATGATAAAGGCAAACCAATTTCTTTCACTAATAATTATATTACAGGTAGTTTCTAGAAATCTGATTAAACTATTTTAAAGATACATGAGATACGTCTTAGATGACTAATAATAAATTGAAGAGCGTATTAGAGTGACTTAAATGAGATACAAAGTAGAATTGCAATTATGAGTCAATTTTCTATTTTATGAACGAAAACCAGTTAAGGTTTCATTGAAAGCACTACGTCATAGTTATTCAGGAAATACCATAAGGTATTACTATAATTTATTATTTCTTGCAGCTAGCGGCGTTGATGACTTTATATGCCATACCTCTCGCAAGCTGATCTTTAGGCTGAAATTGTGGTAACTTAAGTCTTGTTTTACAATCCAAGCCGTATAATACTCAACAGCTGTGTCCACCCCTGTATACAGGTAGCTCTACCCTGCAGAATGCACATGTGTAGTATACTTACCTATGGCAGCTTTGCCTATATGAAGTTGATGCCTTTAAGTCCTTTTCATTTTGCTTGCGGGGTTTTATGTCAAAACTTCGAACTGGCTGGGGCTTCAACTTTTGTTCCAAGCTGTAACCTGAGTCGACTCGAGTCGAGTTGTCGCTGTCGTTTGTGCATTGATGTTGCTTCTTCTGTTCCGCCACGTATTCATCACCTTGCTTTCCCGTCCTCCTCAACGCTCATTCATCGCCTTGATGCCGCAAGGTTCCCGCGCTGCACCTACAACCTACACTAGTGGGATTTCTATAGCTACATTCTCTATACTCTTAACGTGTATAGTCGAAGCGTTGGTTGACGTCTGACGTCGGTTCGGAAATCCTTGAAATGAAAGTACTGCTTGCTGAGGAGGGTTGCAAGCAAAAGCGAAAAACGAAACTTTGACTCAACGGAGTGCGATGAAGGCATCCTCTGTGCAATGCTCCCAGCTATATGGACGGTTGTGTAATCGTAGCTCCATCTATGTAAGCATAGCTGTATCTCTGTATGTATTTATAAGTGTGCGTGTGTGTGTGTGTGTGTGGTCCCTCGCTGGGCTGCTGTGCTATCGGACATACACACCCCACAGTCCGCTGCCTGCCGGGTTATTCTAGCCATCTGAAATTGATGTAGCACCTACAGCGCTTCGCTCCACGCACGTTCAATGCTCGCTCGCTCGCCCGCCAAATCAACTTACCCAGCCAAGCCAAGTCCTGCGGCGGAGCTCGCCCGGCCGCCCAGTGCCCCGCCCGTTGCTACTGCAGGTCATTTTCAGCTCCCATCTACGAATGGCCAGGACGCGTAAAGTTTTACAGGACGAACGTAAAGTTTAAACGCTGATTGTATGTTTCGTACGTAAAGGGCCAAACGGTTTATGTAACCCGAGCAGCATGTGCATTGCACCTTGGTGAACGAATGTGGCACAGGGCCGCGTGACGAGACATTCGAGTAGCTATAATCTGACTGGTCTATATAGTATCTATATATAAATATATATATACACATATGTATTTATTTCTTCCCTTATGAACTTATGCCTGACAATTACAAATTTGTATACAGGTATACACAGGTACATAGGTTGACTACTCAGCTAGAATGTTAGATTTAAGACACACTTCACTGATTTCAAATAGTTTGACCTTCGCTCAGGCAAAGCCATTAAAGAGACTATTAATCAATCGAATATAGATGTTATCTGACTGAAACCAGATTCGATGAGAATTAGAACGCAACTATAAAGCAAGCTGCCAAAATATTTCAAACCGGTTATGAGCCCAACCGGTTATTGCCCAAAATATCACTTTTCCAATGACCTAAGTAACATTTTATAATGAAGTATTTGCGAGAGCAGTCTAAGAAATGTAATTTATTTAAATTAAGATATATATCAGACTACCCTCGTAACTCTCTGTTTATCGCAACTATTCGAATTTCAAAATTCAAAACTTTCTTTTTATAACAATTTTATGTTTCATGTTCTCAAGTTTTAGTGAGCAAAGCTCTTAATACACTGTAATTAAGCTTATTATATATACTATATATGTACATCTATTATATATAACTAGGCCAGCATTATGATTTTTTGGTTCAAGTTTTAGTTATGTATGGAAACTCTATTTGTCGATCTGGGACTGATTGACCGCCCCCTCGAAGATCTTCTCGAGCTGAGTGAGCAGGCCAATGGCACGATAGTTCTCCTCCAGCAGCGCAAACTCCTCGAGTGGCTTCAGCAGACGCAGTGCATCTTTGTAGTTGTTCACGCGATGCGGCAATGGCTCAGCATCGGCGCTATCCTCGGAATAGTGACCCGGACTGTGCGCACTGGGATTCAAGGACTCAATCTTTTGTATCTTTAGAGGTAGACTAGGTACGGAATCTTCTGCAGCTTGGCGCTTGAGCTCAGCTTTATCTGGCTCCTCGTCATCATCCTTGATTTCGATTAGCTCAGGCGGTTCATCAATGGCCACGCAATCATCGTCTTCCTCAATTGCTGTGTTTGTTTCTTTGGCTGGTTCCGCCGGCTTGGACTCCGCCAGTGGCACATGCACAAAGCGAGCTGACTCTGGTTCCTTGGGTGTCAGTGTGATGTTGCCCATCGACTGCTCACGCTGCTCATGCCTGCCACAGTAGCTGACTATGTCACGCAGATCCAGGGAGAGCGGCACACGACGCAGCATCATGCCGTAGTGAACGCCCTGTGAGAAGCTGAAGTTGTAGTGGCTCTTGAAGTGATTGAACCACGTGCGATCCGGAAAGAAGTTCTCGATCTTGAGTATGTCGCGTAAATTGACAGCCACCTCGCGCAGATGGTCCACATCGAGGCGACCCTTGTTTTTGTGATGGAATTGCGAACGCGAAATGTACTCGAACAGCGCCTTCTCCAAAAAGTTAATTTTGCGCTTGCGTCGCAGCTGCAGCTCATCCAATGTGGCCTGGTTCTGAGTGGACGCCGCAACCAGAGTCTTGGTGCGATACAAGGAACGTATGTCTACGGGCTTTCTGGGAGACAGCAATGCCGCCCGGCCAGTTGTGGCTGGCACGCTTACCTGCAACGGCGTAGCAGCTGGCTGCGTGCTGAATGCCACAACATGAGCTGGAGCAGGTAAATCCGGTAACTTGCTGCTGTCCGATGTGGGTATATTCTTGCCACAGTAAGACATTATATCTCGCAGATCCAGAGAACGAGGTGGCTTGCGCGTCATCGTTATCTGACGATTGGAGAGCGTGATGTTGTAGGCCGCCTTGAAGTGATTGATCCAAGACTTAATAAAGATCGAGAAGGAGAGATTAATGAAGTTCAGCAGCAATCATTCGAGAGCTTACCTTATTGGGCACAAAGTTGTCAATGCCCATTAAAGTCTGGAAATCTAAAGCCTTGGTGCGGATTAGCTCCTCGTTGATGTCTACGCGCAGGTAGAACTGAGCACGTTGTATATACTCATATAGGCAATGGCCCAGGAAATTGATTTTGCGCCTGCGCAGCTCCTCTAACTTGGAATTCGGCTGTTTGTTGTTGTGGCGCGTCGCTTCATAGAACTCCATAATGGGCTCTCGATTGGAGACAATGTTCTTGATCTGCTCCCAGCTGCAGTTGAAGTTCTTGGCCAGCTTGCTGTACATGGGCATGATATCATATTGACGTATGACCTCCACACGCTCCTCTAGGGTCAACACGTTACGTATACGCTGGGAGCCAGCTCCAAATGAACTGGCTTCGTCCTGTAAGTAAAACCAATGATGCTAATGAAAATTTCAAATTCATTTAATGCTATCTCATGTTAACTAAAGTACGAAACCTGTATTTAATTTAGCTTCAACTCAGAGACAATGCAAACCTTTCAACGCTTTTCCAGTTAAACCTGATCAGCTAAATTTGTCTACTAGTTGCTCTAGTATGAAATTACCATCCCACAAATTGATGAACTGCTTTTTGTTTTTACTTACGTCAGACATTTGCTCAGTTCCGTACGCTCACGCACACAGCAACAGATAACGGAAACTCTCATACGCTCGCACTCTTACTCTCCCGTTGCCGCTCTCACTCTCGCTCTCGTTCTAGCTCTGGGTTCTTCTCAGTATCACGCTCTTCTTTAACGCAATCGAGCGCACGCTGATACGGCAACGCCTGAACGAAAAAAAAAGCAATTAAATTTCATTTATACTACAGCAATTGGCGTGCTTAACAAATTGCTTTTAGATAAGCCCTACGCTCACCTGGTATTATTGAAATCTACAGCAGGTTTTTAGGCACACGGCAACCATCCAGTAAATAGCGTTCCGCTCGCAACGTGTGGAGCGTAGCAGCAATTTGTTGCAACTGACGCGCTTTGCAATCTCTCTGAGACGGCTGGAAAATCAGGTTTGGCGAGTTTTACAAACTTGTTTACGGAGAGTGAGAGAGCGCTCTACTCTGTTTTCTCTTGTTCTCTCTGCCACTCTCTATCGCTCTGTGATCGTGAATGTGTGCCGTTATACGCACGTGCCCGTCCATGTGTGTGTGCCTGTTTGCTTTTGTTGCTATTTTTAGTGTGTAAGCAGAGCAAACGAGCTGCGAATGGGGGCGACAGAGAGCGCAAGTCTGAATTTATTTAAACAAATGCATTTAAATTATTTTTTGTTTGCTTGCAAGAATGATTAAAGAAAGTGCGTAATCGAATTGACAATTGATTTTAATTCCATATATAAGTTATTCGTTCAGCAAGTGCTAAATATAATCAAATATCCTGGGCCAATTGACATTATTATATATGGAGTATATAAGATCAGAAATTTTATTAAATATATATGTATTCAACTGAATAAAAATATAGAAATATAGAATTGATATGAAATTAAATATAAAGAATAATTATGCCATATGAAAATTATACCAAGCATCTAGCGAGTATTGCCCAAATTTGCCAACATTCAGAACAACTTAAACAAATTCCATTAAATACCTGAATGAACTTTAATTGGCAGAATTTATTAGTTTTGGCACATAACAAAAAAAAATTATGTATTCGATTACATTTTATGCATAAGTACTTAAAAACAGAAAGTTGCTTTACCTAAAATGAGGTAAGAGTAAAATAACTACAACTGATATCTATATATTGCTTATGTTATTATTTAGAAGCCAAAAGCTTTAAGGAAAATAGTGTTGTATGGAAAATCTATTGATTAGTCGGGCTTATCGACAGGCTTCTTGTAGACGGGCCCCTTTTTGCGCATATATTGTTTGATGAAATCATAGGACTTGTGTTTAACCGATTCAGTGCAGGCCAACGGATTGCCGGTCATGTCACAGTAGCGCATCTCCTTGGTGGTTATGTGGTGGCTCAGCTGCGAGAATACTCCATTAGATGTACTCAAAACTAGTTGAATCTATCACACTTACTCGCTTAATTAGGAACTTGTAGTCTTCATCGCTTGTAATACGGCCCAGCTGGCAAGTGTCCTGGCGATAGGGACGCAAAAACTCGGCCACATGGCCGCTAATCTCAAAGTGAAACTTATCGCTGGCATCGCGTCCAATTGTCAAACTAGAAAGATTCGTAGAGAATGTTAGCATAAAATAGTTCAGTGGCTCAAGGGATTGCTTACGTCTTGCGCTTGCTGTCCCTATGCTTCTTTTGGCTCTCTGTCAGGAGTAGCTTGCGTTTGGCGCTTGGCAACGGCTCTGTGGCTTCTGTGGCACTGGTGGATGATGGCGATGTTGAACGCAATTGGCGACGACGACTTTGTGATTCCGGCAATTCCTTGTCGCCATCAACAGTAGCATCAAGTAGCGGTACACTGGTTTCGTTTTCTATGATTCCATCCTCATCCGAAGAGTACAGATACCCATGAATGGGTAACGAATCGGTGGACTCTCCAGGCGGTGGTTGAATAGTATTTGTCTCGTTGCGTGTACGTCGATAAATTTCCTTTCGTCGGCGTATCTTTTCTTTGTTCTCCTTGTATTTACGTGACTCCAGCTGGTTGTAGAGGCGATCTTCCTCGCGCCGTGGACTTATAACGCGCACAGAGACGAGGCGACTGCGCCGCATTTCGCGTCGTTCGCGTATCTTTACCTCAATATACTGGGCCAGAGATTTGGCACTCAGGCTGCCCACATAGTCGATATCAATATTAATCAAATCAGCCGAATTGGCTGCCTCATCCGGCACCAGATCCTTTTCTGGTGAAGCCTCTACCAGCTGTTGCAAGCGCTGTTCAGCGTTCGGTGGCTCCCATTGTGGAATACGATCACGCAGATTGTAATAGTAGATGTCGCCTTCGGGTGTCAAGCTCCAGTGCCAAGAGGGCGGCAACGGGTCTACGCCAGCAGGCAGCTTATACTCCACATCGTCCTCATGTTCCGGCGAGGGTGGCTCTGCGATGTCGCCGCAACGTAATGGCACGGGCACAAGCGCATCCTCGCAGTTGAACCATTCATTGGTCTCCGTGTTATGGTAAAATGGCAGCAGCTTTGGATCTGTGTTCAAATCTGCCCCAAAGTATTCGCAGCGCAGCTCGTGCTCTCGCCAATCCTCGCTGCCAACACGCTTTTCCGCCTCATCCTGGGCCACCTGAATAGATATGAAGAACTTAAAGTAAAGTCTCTATTTGAAATCTTGCGCTCATCTTACCTTTCTCTCAAATAGCGATCGCCGCAGCTCCTTGGATATAGTTCGGCGCGGATCAAACTCCGAACGCCGTCGGCTCTCAGGCTTGATGCCGCTGCTGCTCTCCGTGGAGCCTGGCCATTCTTTGGGCTGTGTGGTGATTGTGCAGATGGTATTGTTGCCGCTCATTCGAGTTGGCGGCTTGGACTTCTCATACCGGCTGCTCGTGTCGCGCCTAAATCTATCTTGTCTATAACGATCGGTGCTTAGCACGGAGGAGGCGCTGTTACTGTCCCCTAGCGCAGTGGGCAGATGTTGTTGGCGATCTGCCTCCCGTTCGTGCTCCTTCATCTGTTCGATGCGTTCACGTTTGGGTATGCGAAAGATTTCGGGCAGGCCATTCCACTTTTGTAGCAGGGCGCCAATGCGTTGGCGCACTGACTCCTCCTCGTCCGTTTGCGGTTGTGCTGGCTCCGATGCTGCCTCTGCTGGCTGAGCTAACTGGTTACCCCATAGCTGCACGCTCTGATAGATGCGACTGTCATTGAGCATCGTTCTGTTCGGTATGGGCAGCGATTCGAGTGACTCAAGCAGCGCAAGACGAAGCTGCTTATCATTGCCGCTCTCGCTGATCCAGGCGTGCAGCAGGCGCAGCCCGTGGTAGTCGAGGAAGAGCCGACGACATGGCAGCTCGCCACGCGTTAGCACGCCCAGCAGCTGAAGGCGACTCTGCAGCAGCTTGGCACGCACCATACAACGCGATAGGCGCAATGTGTCGAGCTGATTCTTGAGTCCACTTCGACTGAGCAGCGTCAACTGTTCGAGCACATCTGTATCTTCAAGCTGATCGAGTTTACGCGTTGCTGACTTCTCGCCTCCAACGCCGCCCGTAGGACGCAGCCAGCGGCCAGCCTTGTATTCGCGATCCTTAGGCTTGGGCTGTTCTTTGCGCTGTTTTCGTGCCGTTGGCAGTTTAAGTTGCTTTTTAGATTTACTTCTGGGCGTTTTGACCTTTGGCTCCTGCTCTGGACGCAGCTCCTCTATTAGTGACTCGGGCTCACTTTCGGTCTCCGAATCGAGCTGCTCGCCTTCATCTGATTCCGGCTCGTTGCCAATCCAGCCGCGACAATTGGCCGACTCGCAATAGCAGCGCTGAGCATCGCGTCCATAGCGTTGATACTGATAATCGAATGTGATTTCCTCGCCAGGCATGATGGTCTTCACACTAAAGAAGCCAATGCGCAGCTCTCCATTGACCGTCCACTTTTGTGTCTCCGCGTTTGGATCGCAGCTGTGATTGATGTAGCGAGAGATGTTGCCCTTCGTAGTCGCATCGATGATTGCCTCGCCACGCAGCGCCATGAAGTAATAGTGCCGATTGCGATCTTCCGAGTAGAGATGCTGGCGACGTTCGAACTCCTCGCTGTCGATCACCTCACCCACATACTCCATGATGAACTCCCCAGGTTGTATTTGCAACTCGGCTGTGATACCGCAGCCCTTCTTCTCCGTGCGAAAGACTCGACAGGGCCAGCCCTGATGCTGCTGGAATCGTTTATTCGTGCAGCGATCACCATAAGTGCACAGCGGACCACACTCGATCATAAGCATGCGATTGATGCAGCCATCGCCGCAGCGCAGTTGCCCCTGTCCCTCCTCGTCGCCGGTGACAAAGCAATCGCATTGCATTTCCGCATTCTCTTTGCTCACCTGGCGCGCGCAACGATAGTAATTGTCCCGCAGGGTTTGGAATGTGTTGAGGCCCTCCTGGCGCAGGAACTGCTCATTGATGGCATCAATGTGGGCAAGCTCACTTAGCTGTTGCTCCATGCTAATAGTGGGCGTTTGGGTGCTGCTACCACGACCTAAGCTCGCTTTGGCACCTTGCGGCTTCTGCTTGATGCGATGCGAGCGTCGCACACCCGCGGACAGATCATCTGTGCTGCCAACAGGTGATGGAGCTGGCGTATTGGCTGGTGTTTCCAGATTAGCCACACGCTGTGCTAACTCATCTTCAGTTGCCTCCTCCTGTGAATGCTGTTGCTGCTGTTGCTGCTGCTGCTGCTCATCCTCCACTTTGTAGTCGCGTTCAAGCAGCTTGACGCCATCCTCTATGAATTTGGCTATGTCGTGTAGTGGGTTGGATGCCTCTAGCTCGGAAGTGGGCGTCGGCAAGCTGCGACTAGGCAACTCGCCAGCTCTTGTTGAGGAGCTCGAACTGGAATCCAGCGAATCCTGACTGCTGGGCATTTGCTTTGTTCTTGTTGCCTTGCGTGTTGGCTTCCTTTGAGCTGATTTCTTTCTGCTACTGCTGCTGCTTGGCTTCTGTTCTGAGTCCGTAGCTCGCTCTGGACTCAACGTTGACTTGAAGGGATGCACAGAGTTGCGACGTTTACTGCCCAAAGGCAACTGCACGTCCTCGTGACGCTCCTCGCAAATTGTGTTGCGGCGGCTGCCTTCCTTTGCCGGCTGCTTTTTCGCACGAGACTGTGGCGTGGAGCGTTCCGGCAAGTGTTCGGTTGACTGCTTCTTGGTGGCCAGCTTAGACTTCTTTCTGGCCTTCTCTTCATAGCGCATCTGTGCTTGCGCTTTGTCCAAGACCTTAAAGAGTGCATCGCACTCTACGAAAGCGGCGTTAGAGGTTGAGGGCTTCTCTAACATGGGACTGTCATTTGTCCTCCTCTTTTCAACAGCAGTTGGTTTTGCATTACCCAATTCTGACTTGAGCTCTTCTGAAGAGGATTTGGTTGACTTTAGCTTTGGGAGTGGCTCAGCGACATCGATTCTAGTTTCTGTCGTTATTTCTTCTACGTGATCTGTACTTGTTTCTGCGGCTTTCACTGCATCTGGCTGCTGCTGCAGTTGCTTTGCAGGTAACTCCATCTTCTCGAGCTTTACTGGCGATGCTTCTCTTATGTCTAAGCTTGGCTGTTTCTTACTTTCGTCCATCTTCGCTTCGTAGGCATTTGCTGACTCTGTTGCAGAATTGGCACTTAGAAGTTTCTCCATTGTCATCGGAAGCTTTAACTCAATGCCTGTGGCTTTAGCAGCGCGCCTCAGAGATTCCAATTCGAAGAGGGCTATTGCACTAGACGAAGGGGCCTCTACGTTTTTCATCTTTTCGACAGGTTCATTTACAGAGCCTGGAATTACACTAGTTTCTAGTTGTTCTGCTGCTTCTACAGCTGCCTTTGGTTCAGGGTTGTACTCGTGTATGGCAGAAGACTTTGGTAACGAGACTTCCTTATTCATGTTGACTTCCTTTTGCAGTTCATCCTCAACGTTATCCGCATCTTCGTTCTCTATCTTGGCTGAAGCGTTTGGCAATGAGAGCTCTGCTTCTACGTTGATTTCCTGTTGCAGCTCTTTCTTGAACTTATCCTTATCTTCGTTTGTTTCCGACAATTCCTGTTCTTCCTTGACTTCTTCCCGCAACTCAATCTTTACCTCTGTATCCATACTCTCATATAGTTTCTCCTGTGCCCGCAGCTGTGGCGCATCTTCAATTATATCTGATTTGGACGACTTGTTAGATGCTTCAGAAGTAGGCGTAGTCTCTACCACACTGCATTGCACTGGAGTCTCTTTTTCCATTAAGTCTTCCATAAAACCTTGACTAGCTACTACTACTTCAGTGCTTGATTTTTGCTCCGTTGCTGTCTTTAGTTGCTTTTGGGGCTTCTCATCTTGCGCTTCTTGTGCTCTCTCAACGATGTCATCTTCCGTAAACCAAAGCTGTTCCGTATCACTTTGCAATTCAGCTAATAGTTCTTTTTCATCAACATCCCCAGCTGGCGCTTCCTCCTCAATGGTGACTTCCTGAGCGACATCTGTCTCCTTATTGGGAAAAATTAGTTTAAAGTTGTGAGTTGGCTCAGTGGACTTAACTATTTCTTCATTTTCGGCTTCTTCGACAGTTTCAGTGTCTGCTTCAGTTTCCAACTTTGTCGTTTCGATATCCACAAATATAATTTGTGAATCTGAATCCTCATCGGAAGCCACGGTTATAATCTCTGTCTCAATTACTTCAATGGTTCCGTCTAGTTCTTCGTTATCCTCAGAAACTGCTTCAGCATTGGTTGCATCTTCTACAATGATGTTGAAACCCTTTAGAGACTCATCCGAGTCAGAGGATTGCCGTCTTGAAGAAAGGGCTTGTTCCTTGCTGCTTGCCAAGTTTGTGCTCAATTTAGAGCAATCAGCTTCAGTTGCATTATCTGTGAATTGTGCTTTGCGCGGACGTCCACGTTTACGCAGCACCTGCTGTTGCTGCTGATGTTGCTGCAGCTGCTGTTGCTGACTGGTAGTAGGCGTCTTATCACTGCTCACCTGGGCAACAATCAAGCTGGGCGTCGGCTTCGGCTTGGTAAACATATCCAGCGAAAGCAATGGCGAAATTGCAGGCAGAGGCGGGCGTGGGGTAAACAACCGATTGACCTCAATTGCTGGGATTGCCACAGTAGACGAGCTCGTTGCTAAATGTGTTGTGGACGCTGTGGTTGTTGTTGGTGCATTAGAATCAATTCTTGCCTCGATTTGTATTTTGTGAGTTTTGCGACTCTTGTTGAGTACATCGAGCACGTCGAACTTTACAATTTTCTTACGCGTGCTTCGCCGGCAATTTGTTGGCGAAGTCGACGAAGTGCGCTCCTCGGCTGGCGATTCCATCTCCTCAATTAATTCAGACTCTTGGGCGTTGACCTTGGGCGGCCGGCCAATTCGTTTGCGTAGAGCCGGCTGCTTAGCACTTTCGTCTCCTGTTGATTTGTCCATTCGTTAAAGATTGCTATCAATTCAATTTCACTTATTGACAGCATGAATTTATATCATTCAACAGCAATGCTATTTACTTCCTTTTGAAATAAAAAATACTGCTAATTAACGCCCAACTCTAGACTACTTTGCGATGTATACTCACATATTTGCAGAAATGTCGAATTTTCAGGATTTGTTTATAGCTGTGATACATACAGGTGACCGTTCATCAATAACAAAATATACTAAAAAATACCACACAGAAATGCTTGGCTGACACAACAACAGCTGACGCACATAAACAATTGGAAGACAAACAGCTGACAGCACTTCTTATTGGAATAACAAAAAACTCTTTACACTACGCGTTTGCCGATTTCATTTCGAATCTCCTTTTTCAGTAGTGGAAACTGGATTCTGGTAAATAAAATGTTATTAAAATATGTATATAGTTTATTTACAATTAACCGATTGCAGAATGCTTGCTTGCTCAAGCAAGCAAATGTTCATCGGTTCTTAAATCGACTTGACTTAATTAGTCTACATACACATACAAATAAATAAACATATATATATATATATATATATATATTACACTATTGCTACAGCTCGAAGTCTGTGACATCCGGCGGGCTTACGAATGCCTTTTCTGTTTCCATTAAAAGTCCTATTGCTCGATAGTTTTCATTTAGCATTGCATATTCCTGAAGGACTTTTAAGCATTGCATCGCTTCGCTGTGATTGTTAATAACTATGGCATTAGGTAAGGGAACATCGACACTTAAATCTGATTTTTCCTCTATCATTGCTTTCGTTTCTTTTACATGCTTCAATTCCTCAGCTTTTTCGGTATTAACTATATGTTTTTCTTGATCCAATATCACAACTTGTTCAGTCTCTGCTTTCGCTTTTCCCAATATTTGAACGTCATCATCTGAATGTTTCGTTTGCTCTACGTTTGTAATGTTGGGAGCTACAACCTTTTGTTCCTCCTCCGTAATGCGCTTCTTCACATGAGCTTTCAAGCACTTCATTGCCTCGCCATGATTATCAATGACAATTTGCTTGGTTTTTCTGCCTTTATTGTTTACAATCTCTTCTTTATCCACAATTTTACGCTTCTATAAAAACATATATTGTTAATTATTATATTTTCTATGCTTCTGCTTTACTTACTGGTGTTTCGGATGTCCTTTCGCTCTGATTGTCAAATTTGGCTTCCTAAAATATAAATAAGTTTAGTATTAAAATCTCTATAAATTATATTTTACTTACCTTCGACTCATAATTATGGAATAGTTCGAAGAGTTTTGAGTTTTTTGTTTGCTGCGGGATTTGCTTCTCAACAGATTTCTTTAATAGATAGATTTACATATTGTAGTAAGGTATCAGGCGCTGTTAAGTACCTGTCCTTACCAGTTTCTTTAAAGATTCAAGCTTCTTTAACTTTGTTTTATAATTCTCCAGTAGACTTTGGATCGTGTGCTGTTCTTTCACCATAGCATGTACCTTGTTTAAGTAAATTTCGCGCGATTTAATATTCGATTCGGTTCTGATTAGCTTCCTAAAGTTGCCAAGTTTCTCATTGGTACTCTTTAAATGGTCCTCCAATTTGGATATAACGGTTTGTAGTCCAATAAGGTCGCCGCGAGGTACTGCGGGTATTATGTCAAAACTGAATTTCGACATTATCTTCAAAAATTCGATTAATAATTTATTAATTGCAAATTATACGAGAATATTTTTCTATGCTTCATCACAGTCAATAAATTTCCGATAGTTTGCTAGCGTTGCCAGTTCGTTTGAGCGATAGACATATCGATTGTTTGCTGCTGGCGTTGCCGTACAGCTCTTAAAACGAGCGATATCAAGGTGCCAATATCGAATCAATGAAATCAATGTGATTAGCTATCGATACATATTTCAATTAATTCAATAGATCATATAAACTAATATATTAATAAAAGTAATAATATTCGATCCCAGGCAAACCCAATGCTGTTTATCGTAAGATCGATTAACAACACCGAAAACAGTGATAATTTAATGAATTAAACTAATAAGTTTTTTAAATATTTTAATTTTTAATCGTTTTTTATTTTTATTTCTAACACATACAAATTCAGCTTTATATATTTTATAGGTTGCTTTTGATAGCGCCACAAAGTATGCAACGAAATTGATTAAATGTAGGTAAGTTTCGTTAAGTCAGCATGTTCGTTGAGTTCAACACTTAAGCGCAGCCAACCTCGCATAGAACGTTGTTGTTTTGAAGTTAAGTGAAGCAGGCGGCAGCTGGGTGGAGTGGCGCCATCTAGTGGTTGTTTAGAAGCAACAATTGAGCTGGCCTTCAGCTAACAAAACATTTGAATGTTAATTGCCGTTACATAGATGATAATATTTTGAGAGTCCAGTTAAAGTGCAATGAAGCGTTGCAAGTCAGAAATGTTGAATTTAATTTCCGCTGTTTCGTATACAAAAATTAACATATTACTTGAATATTTGTTAAGCACCTGCGTAAAGAATGTGTGAAAATTGGTTAGAAGACGAGTTCACATTTTTGGCCAATCTAGCGCAGTTCCGTTTTCGAGTAAACCGAAAAACAAGCGTAAAACAATTCAAAAGTCAGTCAACCCCTCGCAAGTTGCATTTGCACCTCGGTTAGGAGTCGAGTGCAGCGGAGCGTTGCGGCGAAGGTAAGCGAAGGTGTTGCCGCCGGTTGCGTGGGGGTTGCGACTGCCAACTGGACTGCCAATTGGTCACGTTGACATGCCAGGCCAGGCCAGGCCAGTCGAAAGCAAACCAAAAGCCGAGTAATTGTTGCGCAACAAGCGAGCCTCCAGTTACGCCAGAGATTTTCCCAGGGCCAGCAATAGGGGCAGCCGTCCATAAAATGTGGGAAAACGAGTGCAGCACACACATTAAACTGAGAAAGAAGCAAACAAATTATGATTGACAGACCAAACCTTTTGCCCAATGACCAACGGCTTCATTATGTGCAGCTCCCACAATAACGTTTTTTCTACTCTTTTGGAAATTGCATTTCGTGCTGGCAGATTTCAAAGCGTTTCGTTTCATACTCCAGACAAGATTGGACAACAAAAAACAGCAACAAAAAAGTTCAATGCACGCGGGTCACGACTTGGCTCGAAGCTGGGCGCCCATAAATCGGCAGGCCTCGAAATTGACGTGTTTTGGCTGCCGTTGCCATTTTGCCTCAGTGACTTCAGCTGCAACTCCTCCTCGAGTTGTCAATCAATTTCTATGCGGAAACGTTTTCGCAACGGCATGATGAATGCTATTGGCCTGGGCTAGAATGAAATTGCTTGGCCATTTGCTATTTGTCAAATTTTCATTAGTTGGCCATAAATTGAATTGGTCGCGCAACCAATAAATTATGCTGCACTGATTCTCACGAGCTCTCGAGCTCAAATAAAAAACTTTCTAGTTGTTCACACCAGTTGCAAGTTGCAAGTTGCCTGTGTTGCCAGTTGCCAGTTGCCAGCTGCTTGCCAATTGCCACCTGCGCCTCAATGCTAGCTGCAGCTGGGAGATGTTGTTGCTGCGGCTGTTTGACTAAAAGCGAATTCCAGTTGCAAACCCATTTTTGGCACGACCTGGCCAGGTAAGATCGCACCATTTAGGGAAGAAGCCGCAGCCACAGCCAAAGCCAAGCTCCTGCTGCAACGAAGCATTGATTTGCAATTGCCTGGAACGCACACGTGGTGTCTACAACACAGGTGTGTATGTGTATGTGTGTGTGTGTGTGATCGTGATTGTCAGTATTGGCATCCAGCTGCGAGAACGCACCCACTTGGCCAACACACACACACACACCCACCATCATCGAGGCCAGCGGCAGAGATCGTGTTGGCTATCGCATTGAGCCGAGGCTTTACTGTATGGCAAGCAAACAACTGTTGATTGATTAATCATTGCTGGTAATTTGATTTTGTGCCTTTTTGGCGTTACCGTTACGCTGCTCCCCTGCTTAGCTGCGGCTCTAGACAAGCCCCTTTTCAGCGCTTTGATTGATTGTTTCATTGCATTTGAGCTTTTTGGCATATTCACCTGGCTCCCCCCTAGACATGGGCATACATATGTCGTGTAACAACAGTCCGTCATAATGTGTCCACTGCGCTCACTTATGCATTTTCGCCATGTCAGCTTAGCTGTCAAAATCCTTGAGCCCAAACTTCAACTCCAACTCCAACTCCAATTCGCATCGAGCCATATGGCCGGCACACTTCTCTCGCAGACTGATTAAAATCTGATGGCAGCCGACGTTGACAGTTTTTGTCAGCCGATCGACGAGGAGTGGAGTGCTGTATGCTAATCGCTTAATGTGTCTATATAATTTAATATTCAATTGTTCACAATATCGCATATGAATAATTATCAAGTCTAGACTACTGTTAACTGATCTTAATTGCAGTGGCTGCTCTAATATATTCATGACGTGCCCACTTCGCCTCTTCTTTCAGCTTTGATTCAAGAGTTTCTGATTCAAAACAATAAACATCGTTCCATATTCTGCTCGAAATTCGAGCTATCAATATCTAAACAGTTGTCGATCAACCTCGCTTGAGTGCTTTCAATGTAAGCCGATCTATTAATCTTTTAGCTTATCCATAAATACAAGACTTGATCGATAAAGAGTGGTTACAATGTCTGATCAGTCACTGATCAAACAATTCTTTAGCTTACGATCATTAGAGAACTATCAGTATGTGCTGCTCGAGCAATTATTTAGTTTCCCTAGACGCGATCGTTCAAGAGCAGTTATCGATCAAGCATGATCATGAGAACGTGAACGTTAGAGAGGCGGGTGTCCACGTGTTGGCACTTGTTGTGCGTTGTTAGTTGAATTTGGCATGTGGCCGAAAGCTGTGCTCGTTGTTGTTGTTGTTGTTGTTGTTGTTGCTGATCGGGAGCCAACTGGAGGCAGTAAATCATTTGCCAGCGTCAACAACTTGTCAACAGGCCAAGCCAACCAAAAGCCATTGACTCGCAACGAGAGCTTGGAGAGGTTTTCGCTGTTGACTGTCCGACGATCGACAATCGACGTTCGACATTCGACATTCGACGATCGGCGATCGGTAGTCGGCTGCAGTTTTGGTCCAGTCATGGCTCATGTTGCATATAAATGGTGCTTAATGAGCTCGTGCCAAATAGAATTGTCAGGCGCCTAGGCTACACTAGCCCCCTCCAGCCCCTCCACCGCTGCCTCTGTAGATAGCTTGTTCGTGTTGCGCTCAAATTGCTGTTAGAATTCCACAATTTTATGGCTGGGCATTTGATTTGATCACGATTTTTGCAGAGTCTGGCATATGTAAACCAAATATGGTCGAATGACGCTTGGGGCGCGGCAGGTGCCCAGGCCCCGTCGCCTGGTTATGGATGGAACGACGCTTTCCCACGCGCATAGCGCTAGCAGCAACAACAACAACAACAACAACAACAATAGGAGAAAAAAGTGGAGTCCTATTGTTTATTTTTGGGGTGCAATCTGCCATCTTGGCAGCCAGAGAGTCGCCGAGTACAGCGCACTAACAAGCTGCGTTTCGCCTTTATTATTTTTAATTGGACTGATTTCGAGCTATAGATACATTTGTATCCAGTGACATATGCAGCGACTGCCATTCCAGCCAATCATCCTAGGCCATCATCAATCCCAGCCAAGACTGTACTCCCAGCTGCTGCCGCCTCTTGACCAGCTACGGACTCGCGTTTTGTTGCAGCTGTGTCCAAGTCCAAGTCGAAGGGTTGCCTCTAGGGTTGCTGCTCAAACATTCCCACGATGCTGACAGCCAAATGAGAAGAAAAAAAATCAAATCAGCTGCACTTTTTTCGCGCAGTTTTTCTGCGTCCTTGGCGCCAGCCTCTAGTCGAGGGGTGCGCCTCGTTTAGGGGTTGGGCTGCATGCTCGTTGATGACACGCTGTGACATTGTGACGTCATCGTCAATATTTGCATTGCTTTGGGAAAAATGTTGTTCTAATGATGAGGGCAACTCAACGCCTTCTTTGGCCATTTGACTTGGGCACAGCCACAAAAGACTTTCTGCTCTCTGGGCAACGCCTCGAATATATATTTGTATGTATATATATATATATATATATATATATATGTATTTATACCCGCATTTAACTAACTAATGATTGAAATATGTTTCAAAGAACCAAGCAAAGATTTCTGTTAGTTTCTATTGTGTGCTTCTGCTTAGCTGTGTCCTAACAGAGGCTTAACAGCGCTGCTGTAAATAACAGACTTTGGGTTGGAAGGCATTTAAGTTCTGTTAACAGTCTTATTGGACTTAACAGCAGCTTTTATTAACAGCAGCTGTACATTTAGCTGATTGCAACTTGCAAAATCTATTAAAATTAAAATTTTATGCGTAGATGTTCAGGATAATAGCAAATTTTCAATTATTGATTTTATGACAATATCTGAAAGGAAATTTTCGTAATTTTAAATTTACAGCATATTTTTTGAGCTATTCTCCCACACTTTCACAGCTGCAACTAGTCTCTGAAGCACCCATAAACTGCCACACAGTAAATATTTTAAGCGTACAAATTCTTTGTTGTCTCTTGCAATTAGTTGCCGGCTGCGCAGCAGTTCACACGAGGCAGCTGCCAAGCGATCATGGAACGCAGCTCTAGCTGTGATTTTGAGTAATCATCGTGAGGCGGATATTCAACAAGAATATATATATATATATAAATATATATATATGTATATGTGTGTGTGTATAGTGAAGAGCG